AAAAAAAAAAAAGACCAGCCTGACCAACATGGTGAAACCCCGTCTCTACTAAAAATACAAAACTTAGCTGGGCGTGGTGGCATGTGCCTGTAATCCCAGCTACTCAAGAGGCTGAGGCAGGAGAATTGCTTGAACCTGGGAAACGGAGGTTGCAGTGAGCTGAGATGGCGCCACTGCACTCCATCCTGGATGACACAGGGAGACTCCATCTCAAAAAAGAAAAAAAAAATCCAATGTCTATTTATTAAGGTCCTCCTATGTGCCAGGCACCGGGCTAGGTACTGAATATACAGTGGAGAACAAGACTGGAAAGTCTCCTGCTCCCGTGGAGCTCCCTTTCCAGTAGGGTGCACAGAGTGTCATAAAGGAAGTACTAAAACAAGGCAATGACTTAGAGACTTAGAGAGAGATGGAGAAAGTTTTCATTCTGGGAGAGGAAAGGGGGTCAGGGAAGTCCTCCCTAAGATGACACTTTGGTTGCCATGTATTCATCTGGGGCAAGTGTTCCAAGAAGACACAACAAGTGCAAAGGCTCTGAGAAGGAGGATGAGTTTGTCTCATTCGAGCATCAGAAAGAAAGCCAGTGTGACTCAAGCACAGTGAGGAAGAAGAACCATGTCAGGAGGTGAGGCTAGAGAAAGGATGGAGTCAAGACTTTTCATGATATAAGCCATGGGAAGGATTTATAACTGGTGTAGTGGGAAGCCTTTAAAGGGAGTGACATCATCAGAATTATATTTTTAAAAGGTCACTTTAACTGCTGTGTGCTAACTTGGGATGTCAATGTATAATCAATCAGGATGTCAAGTACACAGTTAAAATATATCAACCTGCATCAATCAGAGTCCTATGGAATATATATATGTATACGTGTGTGTATATATATGTATATGTATAGTGTATATATATGTGTATATATACACACATACACACACATATAATCCCACAGAAGAGGTCTTGGCTACAAATATAAATTTAGAGGTATATAAGTGGTATTTTAAGTCACATAGCTAGATGAGGTCTTTAAGAGAGAGGAGCAATTGGCTAAGAACCATGCCAAGTACCCAGCATGGGAGAACCCCAGCCCTAAGAGTTGGACAGAGAAAATAGAAGCAGTAAGGAAAACAATGACTGGTTGTAAAAATAAGAGCCTCCTTTAGAATTCTAGATTGTTTGCCCATTGGCAGGGTGGTCTTCTCTTAAAGGGAGTGTCAAAATTGCAATTCAACTAATATTTACTGATGACCTACTATGTGCAGGGTGCTATGCCAAGTTCTGGGGAAACAAAAACAGATAGGACACAATCCTTGCTCTCCAGGAATTCTCAGGCCAGTTAGAGACATGGACCTTTAGGCAACTAATTTAGGACCAAGGAAGCCTGGTTTTGGTGCCCTAATAAAGGCAAGAACAGCAAGAGCACAGGGGCAGAGAGATGTACCAGATGTTGTGAAATGACTTTACTTGTATCACCTCGTACAGTTCTCTCTATATAAATAACTAGTGTTTTCCTCATTTTACAGAAGAAGGAACTGAGTCTCTAAGATGGAGGATACACAACTGGCAAGTAGTAAAGTCTGGATACACAGCCAGGTCTGCCTGACTTCAGAGCCCAAGTGCTTAATCACTCTTACACTTTGTGACGGTCTGATAGAGCTGGAACATAAGGTTCCTGGAAAGATGGAGCGTCCAGAGAACAAGGCAGAGGGAGATAAAGAGAAAAGAGGGAACAGGGCCGAATTTGCCCAGGCCTTGAATGCCAGCTGAAGGAGTTTGGATTTAGTTCCTCTGGGCCAGAGTTTTTCAGTAGCAGCACTATTGACATTTGGGGCCTGATAATTCTGTGTGTGGTGGTAGTGCGGTAGGGGTAGAGGGCTGTCCACTGTATTGTAGGATGCTTAGCAGTGTCTCTGGCTTTGACTCATTAGATGTAAGTAGCATTCCCCAACCCCTGACAGTTGTGATAACTAAAAATGTCTCCAGACATTACCAAATCTCTCCTGGGGTGTGTGTGTGTGTGTGTGTGTGTGTGTGCGCGCGTGTGGGTTTGTGTGTGTGTATGCATGCATGTGCTAAATCGACCACTAGTTGGGAATGGCTGCTCTAGGCACTAGTTGGGTGCAGTTTTAAAAGGAGTGTGACATGGGCTGGGCACGGTGGCTCACGCCTGTAATCCTAGCACTTTGAGAGGCTGAGGCGGGCAGATCACCTGAGGTCAGGAGTTCGAGACCAGCCTGGCCAACATGGCGAAACCCAGTCTCTGTTAAGAATACAAAACTTAGCCGGGCGTGGTGGCGCACCCCTGTAATCCCAGCTACTCAGGAGGCTGAGGCAGGAGAATCACTTGAACCCGGGAGACGGAGGTTACAGTGAGCCAGGACTGTGCCATTGCACTCTAGCCTGGGCAACACGTGAGACTCTATCTCAAAAACAAAACAAAAAAAAGAAGTGTGACATGATGAACATTAGAACATTAGGAATGCTCTTTTAGCACTAGCAACTTAGCTCAGCATGGTGCTGCATGACTAGTCCTAGCTACTGAAGAGGATGAGGTTGGAGGATCACTTCAGCCCAGGAGGTCGAGGCTGCAGTGAGCTATGATTACGCCACTGCACGCCAGGCTCAGTGACAGACTGAGACCTCATCTCTAAAACAAAAAACAAAACACCAATGACTTCTGTTATAACAAGCACTGTTATGTTCATAATGTATTAGCCTTTGTGAGAAATTGTATTATGTTTCAATTCTGGTAAGTTGGAATTGCGTGTACTACTTTGGTTACATTCCCATGGTGTCTGTTCATTTTCTGTGAAAGGATAGATTGAGTTTACCATGTGCTTCTCAAGGGCAGTGAGCACAGTGGCTTCTTTGTTTTTATATTCTAAGTTCCTGGCACAGTGAATGTTAAATGAATAGATGAATTTTTTAAAAAGTATTATACACATATTTATATTAATTTTTAGAATATCATGCTTAGATCAGAGATTTGTCATAAGTCTAATATGTGGTAAAAAATAAACATCGTTATTTGTAAGCAACAATATCTGTTTTAATCTTTTGATCCAAAAATTCTACAAGCTGATAAAATGTGTAGACTTTATTTTCAGGTCTATTTTCCAGATGAAAAAAATCCGTGTGATCTTTGCAGCATCCACAGGGTTTTCTTCAATCTGTAAGAATATATTATTAATTATTCACCTGTCTTAGTCCATTTGTGCTACTATAACCAAGTACCTAAGACTGGGAAATTTATAAAGAACAGAAATTTATTTCTTACAGTTCTGGAGGTTGGGAAGTCCAAGATCAAGGTGTCAACTGCTCTCTGAAAACTGCTCTCTGCTTC